ATCTTCAGATTACTTACTTATATTAATTGTGTCACTTATTATTGTTTTCTTGAACGATGAGTACAGTTTTCTTGCGTTAATAATTGAGAAAATAAATTCAATAATTCGATGTGATTATGATAATATAAGGCGCTCTTTCATCTTTGTCCTAAAAAAATGTCACTTGAAAAATTTCGATTGAAATATCTAATAAAGAAAACTAGTAGTGGCAGTGCTGTGTTCATTATTGCAATTATATTGAACTATTTATTTTATTTGTTTAATATCTGACTAGATAATAACTAGTTAAATAAATATGACAAGATTAGAAAATTCTAATTAGTCTGTATATATCTTTCTATTCGACGTTTTCCATAGAACTTTATCCTTCCCCTTCGTTCTATAATCGCTTAACTCTAGTACAATTAACATTTTGTTTTAACCCATGTTTTACATTAACAATAGTAAACAAGTGACAAATCGAAAGGTATGTTGCTAAAGTTCTGATGTTCAAAAAACGACACCTGTATTGCTTGACATATTTAAACCTTATACTGATTGTACTAATCGGTTATTTTTTCTCTAAATCTTAGGCACTATTTCAAGCAGAAGATGGTACACCAATAGGAATTTTATGCATTAATGTTGAAAATATATCACCTATTGTTGATCAAACAATTCGTTGTATTAACGGAGAAAATACATTATTAAAGCGAGTATTTCGTATACCAAATCCACGCCGAGCAATTACAACAGGTTTTTGTCTCTTTGTGATATTAATAATCCAGTGACTCTTTATTTGTTTTATTCTATTCAGAATCACTAACAAGTGGTTTACCTGAACAAGTTCATCAAGTATTTGTTCGTGCAAGTGATTTAAATATTGTTTGTGAAGTTAAACCTGTACCTATCAATCAGCCATGTGACATGTTAATTAAAGTATTTGACATTTTGTTTTTTGAAGTAAAACAAAAAAAATAATAATTTATCCTAGGCGGCAACTCATAGTGCACCAACAGTTACCAGTTTCTTAGTATTTATGTATGCTGATGGTTTTCTTCATAGACCTATTAATGTATGGCAATTTCAAATTCATGCTGTTAAACGTTTAGATCTTACTTGTGTTCAATATCAGACAACTGCTGCTACTCTTCTTCTTCGGTATATATGATTTTATTTATTTTTTTCTTGATTAAAATATAAAAATGAATACAAAATAGAGGTACACGTTCATCACGTTTGGTTCAATGTTTTGGCAATGTTCCCGATGAATTAATGATATCACCAAGCAATGCGTTTTCTGTTGCTGCTAATGGACTTCATGAAGTTCATTTACTTGTACGACCATCACATGCAGGTCTACGTACTTATTGTGTTAATGCAGTTGATGTAGAAAATCATCAAATTGTTGATACATGGATGATACGAGTTGATACACGTATGCCTGTTATATCAAAACAATTCGGTAATAAATTATTGGAAGAAAAAACAATAAAATACTATGTTGTTTTTTTCATTTATTTTTCTAGCTCATACATTACCTTTTGGACACAGCCAACCAATTAGTAAACGTATATCATATACAAATCCGTATGCTGTTCGAAAGACATTCTTTTTCATAAGCAGTCATCCTGAATTACTTCAATTGCAACATCAAAAAGTTGATTTTCAAGCAAACGAAAAGAAATTTATAAGTTTTACATTATTACCTACGTTTAATGCTACACCCGTTACAGATATTATTATTTTAATTAATAATAAACAAGATACAAATGAAGATGCTTATTCTATTCATGTTACTTATACAGATTCAAGTGTTCCTATTTAGTATCATTACTTGTGTATAATGTGTGTGCTTGTTTGTGTGTGTTTAGTTTTTCTAGATAATGAATTTCAAATGAAAAGTGAATTAGAAATCCTTATAGTTGAAACGTTTTTTTCATAGAATCAAGATTTAATTGATATGGGTGCCTTGTGAACAACTATCTTGTTTTTCATACAACTTTATGTATTGTTATACATAAATAAATATAGAAACGCATCAAGGTATAAATATATTTATCATTGACAATAACATTAAAAATCTACTACGTTCGAGAAAAAAATCACTATTCATTAGAAATCTAATATGCTTCGTTGTTTCTCTTTTAAATCACTTCGAAAGCTAAATATTTAGAGACTTGAGGTTTTTATCAACAGGAAGAGTGAAACGAAGGACGAGGAACGGCATGAATCAATGCAAAAATTAATCTGTTAAATGAGTTACACGTTTGTTATTTTACAGTAAACTTTCAAGATATATAATCTGCCATTCTTATTTTATCACAAGATATCCTTCTTCTTTAAACAGAACAACTTCAATATTGTATTTTATTGAATTCAATTGATGCAAATTTACCGATCATTGTATACCTGACGTTTCAATCAGTTATCATCTGAGGTATCATATCAAGAATAGGGATGCTTTACTACAACTTTCAATCACATTAAAAGACCGAATGATCAGATCCTTTGATGAATTGATGCATCCATTTTTTATGAAGGTTCACGTCCTTTATTTTGCTCTATCGAATATTGAAAAACGTACATCTCTAGCAACTTGTGCTCTGAATTTATTCCAAAAACAACGGAGCACATATTTCTAAATGGATAGTAGCCCTGAAACTGAAATGATCAAGGCAAATATTTATTATTATTCGTCTAATATTTCTAGATAAGTTATATTTTATCAGAACTTCATCATTATGATAGCTAATTCAATCATTTTTGTTTGTCTATTTCGATTATTTGAAGTCGTATGTTCATAATAAAGAAATATCACTCAAAGAACATCTACAAATAATTATCTAGACACACTATCATATAAACAATATCACTAATTTTTCATTTATGTGTCCTATGTTTCAAAGATTGAAGTCATTATTAACCGATATACAATTTTTCTAAATAATCTTAATTCTATGTTTTTTTCCTGTGTGATGTACTAAAAAAACGAGCCATAAATATTTACGAATATTATATTTAAGCATTAGAAATAATTGGATGCAAATCAATAAAAATGTCACTCTATCTTTCAGCCAAAATAAATGTTACACGTAACTTTGTCGAGTTTTTCGTCACTTGTTAGAATATAATTCTTACATATTTAGATTGAACATATTACAAAATGGTAATTAAAGACTTGTACTAATTATTAGTCTTTGAATACAAGAAGTTGCTGAATAATAAACTGTCATATTAAGCAATAAAACATCTTGTGTATTTACAAATAAATTATTTTTTAAATTAGCTCTGATTGTCTTGATTCAAACAAAACGACCAGTATAAAATTATTGCGTAGTACAAAAATATAAGAAATATATATATATCCATTTTTTTTATGAATCTTGAGCAGTGAATTTAGGTACCATAGGACCTTTTCAAGTAGCCTTCACTCATTAATAGAAATATATCGAAATCATGAACATAAGTACTTTAAACAAACGGTAAAATCCGAGAAAAACTTCACTAAAATATGTCATGGGTTCTAATTATTGCTGTTGTTAATTTTGAATATCTTATCGAGCGTAGTTTGAAAATTGAAATATTATAATTAAAGTCATCAAATACAATTCAAAGCCTGAGTATCTTGTTATTCATGTAAAAAAAACCCATTTACCCATATCAAAGAAAAAGACTTGTTGACATTGGTGTATCATTTTCTTTTCTATTAAGTGTAAACTACATGTTTTCTACTCGATCAACTAAAATTTTTTATCAAATAAAAACAAGGAAGCTATCAAGTTTTGCCTATACAATCTTTTATACATATTTAAATGAAATATAAAAGTAAAACATTAATATTCTATTCAGTTCATACTTTATAAAAAGAAACTGATTACTTAAAAACAAAATTAACTCTAAAATAGCAGAGTATTTTCCTGTTGACATAAATTAACGAACGATCTATATTCAATCATTTATAAATTAAAATAAAATGTCTGCTGTTTAAATTTAGATCTTTCTAAATCTTGTGTTGAAATAGTTTCCGTAACTTGATTGTTCTTTATTTCTAAACTTCAATGAAAACTAAAATATATGTTAGTCTAACCGACAAATCTGCCCCTCGTGACTACTTTTCATCGATCATATATAACATATGAATTGAAGAGATTGATAATAATAGTCATTTTCAAGTTTATTTCCGTTATTTAGATCGAAGAAAGAGAAAAAACTCCATTAATAATCATACTTATATAGGAGTCATCATAGGACAATCAACACATGTGAGTAGTCCATCATCTATCACGATAGAAACTGAAAGCTAACTACTTGATTAATGATATGCTTGTAAGAAAAGGGGTAGTAACAGTCTTATTAATTTACTGAGGTAAATTCATTCGATCACCTACACACTATCTCTACTTTGCGTAGCTTGCATACGTAAGTTACTCGATATTTTTCCATTAATGAGAACAATTTAGCCACTAAAATATGGTAGATGAGAAAAAAGGAAGTAACAAAAAAGAAAAGTAAAAATATAGCTTCCATATAAATAGTCATTTAAGTCATTTTTAGAATATAAAATTATTTAACTTACAAGTGACAACAGTGAAGTAGGTGTTGTATAAAAAAACAAAAAATTTTGAGCATAAGACAAAAAATTAAAAAGTCACCCAACCGACCATCCGATAGGCATTTCGACCCCTCGATTTTCCACCGTCGATGTCTTCTAAGATACCCATCGCCGAGCCCTCGACCCATCGGAAAATGGCAAACCCAGGAGTCGATTTGAAATTCCGATGGGCAGACCTCGTGCCCCAGATAGCACCACGATACATATTACGAAAACTTCGATCCTATGCTTCTGCTACCTATCAAGTTACTCACCATCTAGCCTTGGACCCATCGAAATTTCAAATCGACCCCTGGGTTTGCCATTTTCCGATGAGTCGAGGGCTCGGCGCACCCCTCGCACGTTTTTTTTAGCTCACTTGGGCAGATATTGTTTTTTTCTTAATAATTTTGTTCATTTAGCTATCATGTCTTTTGCCATTGATAAAATTCTTATTAGTCTTGGTTTTATGCTCTTATTCACTTTGCTCATCGGTGCATGTACTGGTCTAGCTGTCGATGCTACTTATCCCGATCTTTTTCGTGTAAGTATTATATATCTTCTTATGTTCATATTATTCTTGATTTTATTAATTAAATTAATAGCACTTAAATGAAGATCGTAATTCTGGCGATGATATTCATTATTTGGCTAAACGACGTTTTTTACCTACGCGACGTGAATTATATCGATATGTCAATGATGATTTCAGCAATGAAGACAATGACGAAGATTCCAATTTAAATAGAAAGCAGTATTTTCTGAAATCTACACGTTATTTTCCTAATAGAAAACGAGACAATGTAAGATTTCCTTTTTGATAAGATTATTTTCATTCAGAAATTCTTTTTTTACAGGAATGAAAAATAATGATCAACAACAAGTGTTTTATCATATATCGATCTAAAAACTTTTTTATCATTAATTATAAACATAATGAGGAAAAAAATTATTAAGAATAAAATCTATTCATTGTTTTCATGGCAACATATAGATAAAAAACTACATGATCATTCAATCAAAACATACAAGAAAATTTTAATCCAATATCAAATTGAAATAAGAAAATAAAAAATTTTTGGTTTACATAGATCATTCATATTGAGAAGCGTAGAAACATTTAAAGTTAATGAGGCTTGAACCTTACCCGATTTGGGCACCATTAGACTCAACATCATGTGAATTAGGATTTTGAATCTTTAGAGCATTTAAATTTGGCTTTGTTGACAAGGAGAATCTTATTTAAACGCAAAGATTGCAACTGTTTACATGTTTATATGTATATGTATGTGTATATGATGTGATGAAGAAAACTAGAAAATTGGGACAGGAGTAAAGCTAACTATCTATGTCATTATGATTCTTAGCAATGTATTTTATTATCATTTACATCAAAAGGTATGCAAACTAGATCAATGTTAGAAGTATATGAATAAAAGACAACAAAATCAGCTATATCTAAACAAATTTCTTCTCGTTTGTGATTTTATCACTTCTTTCATTTTATTGAGTGAAATACATGTGCAATGATTATTAAGACTTCAACAAAATGTCTACTGCAAAAATATTCAATAAAAATATTCTGAAAAGTGTTTATTTGTATACTTGTCTGTATTTCGATCCGTCCTGTTTTTTTTTGCATTTATTCAGCGTCGTAAAACTATCGAAACGACAACAGATTGTGATGACATTCTTTCTTATTACTGATTAAAATGTGATTTTGTGTTAATATAAATATTATTCATATAAAAAGTACTTTCTTCCAAGTGTAGTGTTAGTGCCAATGTTTAAGATCATAGTCAATAAATGTAATTAAAATAATCCGTTGCATGAATTGTTGAGTATCTTACAATAACAGCAAAAAGTCAAACATAATCGTTTTCAACAGAAGACATTGCTTTAGCCGGTTTCATTGATCTTTCAACACGTTCTCAAGATGAAAATAGCGAAATACCTGCAACAATTTAAGCTGATTTTTATGCTGATAAATCAACTTTACCTAATCTTAATAACTTATCAGCAAAATAATATGAACCGGAGAACCGATCTGGTTCAGTTGAGCCTTAAAAATCGGCCGGTTTTCATAATTTGAATGATCCATAAGTATGAACATGAAAGTTTTCAATTGATAAGTGCCCCCTTGACGTCGAAATCTGAGGTCTAAACAATGAGCTCACACTCTCTTACCATACGATAATGAATTCGGATCATACTGAGTGCATTTACTATTGTCATGACAAATCAGCAAGTTATCCGAACTCAAAGTTGACATAAATTAAAAATCTTCCACCTTGAAAGTTCAAGGTCTCTTTTTTGAATTATTCTTAACTGATTGTCAGAAATTCTCAATAGCCAGTAGTTCTCAGTTTATGTTTTCATTATAAAAATATCAGAAAAGATCTCTTTCGATTGTGTAAGTTATGTCAACTACTAGCTGCATATAAATATGAAAACATCTAGGCATTAGACAATCTGAAAATATTATGTTCAGGATAAAAAACGAACTTTATAACTCTATTTGCTTTCTATCAGTAGTATTTGCCTTATACGACTTTAGAAGCATTTCAATTGCGTTGAATAATGGTTTCAAATAAGAAAACATCAATCTTATCAATTTCTGAATCGATATTCTATCTTCATTGAAGAAATTCAGACAAAATAAAGCCTAAATGTTGTTCAATATGAGTTATTAAATCAGAAACTTTGAAAGAGTTCTTCCTTGATTCATACATTAGTATATATGGAACGTGGCATATTAAAATACAAGTTGATGCTATTATAAAATCCAAAATTTGTATGAATTTCACATAGAATATCTTTGTAAAATTGTAGTTTTTTTCTTGAAAAAACTAGTGCACCAATCGATATATTAAACGGATCAGTTTTTCACCGATTAAATCAGGAATTTCAATTAACCAGTTACTGACTAGCCCGCTCCAGTAGAAAATACTCTATCGATTCTAAGTATGGGATAGTCTAATTTCAAATAAATAATTCTAATAATTTTTGAAATTATTGTAGTTTTATAAAGATTAGAAACTTCTTCAGTTAAGAATACAGCAAGACAGAACATGATTTTGTATGACAACTACAAATCCAAATAGACTGATTTGGTTCACTACCTAAACTTTGCTCCGTTCTATGTCAAAGTCACATGTAAAAAGTTTTTTCAGGATGAACAATCAACTGCTACTGTGCCTTACTTCTTGTAATAATATTCAGTCGTTTCTGTTCATATTGACAACTACTAACAAACAGATGTGTTTGGCATTTGATTGTTCTAGTATTAAATTATTTATTATATCTCTAAATTTAACATAACTTCGTTGCCTACTATCACATTTTTTTTGGATCATCAAAACTACTTCTGTTCTGAAAAATGTTTATTATCTTTGTTCTTATATGTTATGAAAAAAGTTTTTGTCTTCTAATGCAGAATTTATATAGAAACGCAAAAATGGAATAGCCGGTATAACAAACACCATCAGTTAGTCATGGTCTTTGGACGTACAAAAAAAATCGAAGATATCAAAACAAAATCAATTAACTCTCAATAAACCACAAAAACAAAGAACATGGACATCAAAAAAAAGTCTACAGATATAAATTGTAATTAATCTCTTTTTATCAAAAATTTTTTTTTTTTATGTAGGAAATAATCAATGAGATAGAGTGCGAGAATGAATATGAAATAGAAAAACACAAAAAAGATTAAATAAAAAGCATGAAAATATTAAAGAAAGATTGCTTTATCAATGTTGAATATGAGCTGTAGTTGGTGGAGGTTCTTTTGAACGATCAGTTATCTTAAAAGCATATATATTCAAATGATCACATATTTGTCGAACCTAGAAAACAAATAATTTATAATTCTTCCCATAAATAAATATATATATATATAATAAAACTAACCACACAACAACCATAATGAAGATGAGCTAAAATAACAATAGCAGTGTATAGAAACAAGACAAAAAATTCTGTCTTTTCCATGAATACACCATAAACAGACATTAATTGTATTGGAACAAACATATACAGAAGAGTATTAATACCATCCGATCGAGTTGATGTCATTTGAGCAACAATAAGACGACACTGAATAAATAACAAAAAGAAGTTATTCAGAAAACGAACTATGTTATACATACAGCAATATTCGAAAAGGTAGTACCAACAGCCATTAAAAATATACGTGGTTGTTTTTGTAATACCATGTGAGGTGATGCAAGTGCCCACCAAGTTGAAGAAATAAATAGAATAGCTGTTGATATTAATGGCCGTAGTGCTTCATAAAATGATCGATTGTAACCTTTACCATTGCGATATGATCTATAATGAAATAAGATTTAAAACTATGTTACTCTTACAAAATTCTTTTGAATGTAAAGAAACCATCGTATGTGTTTATTTGAATGTGTATGAAATCAAGTTTGAGCTATGGAAAACTGAATATTTGATATTAAATTGAGTATGTAAAGAGTAATTGAAGTGAAATAATATTCATTTAAACACATCCATAAGTAATAGGTAAGATTCACTGATGTGAGTTAATTAGATTTGTAACGCAATCAGCTATTGAGAATGTTTCTTTTTGTAGGTAAATAATTTATGGTGCTTTTGACTACGACTATCCTTTGCGACAAAACGATCACGTTAGACTAATTCTATATATTCAGATGCTGTAAATAGTAGATGAATAATAACAAAATAGATTAATAGACCTCATTTTCTATTCCATCCAACAATTTGCTAACGGTCAATGATGAAATGCTTTCGACTTGTATTTTTGATGGACACTTCCATGGATAGTCTACCGCAAAAAACACAAAAATTCTCAGATGTATTTTCGTCTGTAGACCTTATTGCACTGATTATTTTGGTAGAAAAATATTCAAGTTTACTCAATAAATCATGATCCTAACATCAAAATAATCAGTGTAATGAGTTGTACAAAGTTTTAGAGTCGAAAATAGATCTTCTAAGAACCTTGTATTTTTTGCAGTTCACTACTTATAAAAGTATCCATCAAAAAACTCTTTGCAAGCATTTTGTCGTTGATCGTATAAATTTGAAACTTAACAATAGTTTATATTTTTCGTTCTTATTAAGAATGAACACATTTCAAACGTACTAATCAATACAGATCTCATAGGGTAGTGTTATGAAATCACTATATGACCATTTTTTTGTATTAGATACTATTTTCTTGACATCAGCTTGATTTTTATTTCAATCACGGATGAATTATTGCATCAATTATTTTTGTTGATTAAGAAAAAATTGAACAAACTCTTCGCTAAGCAACTTGATAAAAAGGAACTACTTACTCAAGAATATGAACAATACTAATTGGAATCGAAGTCAATAAGCCACATACTATCATCATCAAAGAAATTCAAAAAGTATGTGTATTTATAATTTTATTTCAACAAACTTACATGGCCACCCATATTCTGCTACGCGTGCAAATGGTACATTTAGTATAGGAACATCAAAACGAAATACATATGGCGTAAAGAAAAATGCCAATAGATAGACTAATGTCATGACCTAAATAAATACATTTAAGAAATTCTAAATTTGATGTTTTTTTTTTTTATTATATTTATTCTTACCAACATCGATATATCATAAGCCCATGGTAAAAAAAGTACTTTAGTATTATATTTTTCCCAATGTGTATTAATAAATGGTATATAAGTAGCAAAAAGTAACATATGCATAGCCAATGGACTAAATCCATATTCATCTCTTGATATAACAGAAAAAATGCAAACTGGAAATAAGAAAGTAGCCCATGAATCAACACCATGATCAAATAATTCGCCTAAAGCACTACTGCTTTTGGTACGTCGAGCTTGTTTTCCATCGATACCGTCTGAAAAAAAAAGAATTATCATGAAAAAAACACAGACGTATATTAATTATTTAATAATACCTAATTGATGTGAACAAAATTGACAAATGGCGGCAACAAGCCAAATCCATTGTGGAAGAACAAGTGATTCGGTAAAATGAAAATCATAATATGAAAATATGACAAAATTAACAACAAGAAGAAGAAAACCAAGAAAGGTCATTAAATTTGGTGCAAGCCAACGTGGAAAAAACTATAACAAAAAATATTCAATTTCATATGAATATTAAGTTTTCATTTTACCTCAACCAACCAATTCCAGAATGGCTGCATAACATAAATAGATAGAGGTGATGTATCAATAGCATTATACTAATGTAATAACATAAATAAAATCAATAAATAAATAAAAAAAGTAAGAAATTCTTTACTTTATATGCATCAAGACCTTTTAAATGAGCAGGACCTAAATACTGATAATCTAGTATATTCATTTTAGTATCTATTTATAACAAAATCTAGAATATGAAAAATATTCAAAAAAGATATTTTCTCTTTAGTAAATAGCAAGTCTTACTAATCTATTTCTCTTTAAAATAAATAGTCAACGCTTTTCTCGTCTACGCAATTTTATTTCGCAAATTTGTTATTGTGACTATTTATATATATATATATATATATATCTAATAATCTTGATCAAAACAAAAACAAAAAGCAACGAAGAGTAACAACAGTGTTTGGTTTGAGTACGAATCATACTTCATTCTTATTCGTCCTTATAATAAACCAATTATAATTGAATGTGATCCATAGTTTTCTGTCTTTTTTTTTAATGGATATTTGTTTCAATCTTTTCTTTTTTTCTGTATTTTTTACTAATAAATGGGTTCATTGACTTTGTAAGTTTTTTCATTGTTTTTTTTTTTTGCTAATTTTACATGAATAAAAAGTAACAACAAGAATATCCTAAAACAACAATAATTTTCTTGGCATTTCCAATGGCATCAATTGGAGACGGTGCAACAACATCAGACGATGAAGAATCCCTTGAAGATGAAAAAACAATAGGTGGATCATTTCGAAATGGCGAATTTCAAGGAAGACTTTTTAAATGGACAAATTATTTACATGGTTGGCAAGAAAGATATCTTATATTAAGACATGGATTTTTAAATTATTATAAAAATGAATTTGATATTACTCTTGGTTGCCGTGGAGCTCTATCTGTAAGACAAGCCATTATTCAGGTAAAAATATTTTTAATTGAGAAGCATACATGTTTTCATTGATTTAAATTTATATCATATGAAGACTATATTCTCAAATACTAGATAATAACAACAAAGACATTCTATTCATAAAAAGCTAGATAAATCCAAGTTAAACATATTTAGACTATAGGGCTATATCAACTGATATTCAGAGTTTTCATTCATAGATGTAAGTTCGAATGAAAATGAACGAAAAAACAAAATAAGTAAAATGATCATCGAAAAATTGCATTTATGTTTCCTTATTCTCATTCTTTTACCACATTCACGCATAAAATTAATTTATGAGTTTTATATCATTTAGTTTTCAATTGTCGTACTAGAAAATCCATTTAAACGTCATTCCATACAGCTTATTTCACTATTTATGCTATAAGAATGATCTATTTTAGTTAAAATCTCGGGCTTCGATAAAGGTGTTATCATTGTGTAACACTGTTATTTGAAAAGACTGTTTTTCCAATGCCACTGATAGAAGACCAATTTCTTACGTAAGTATTTCTTCAAATTGAAATGCTTCTAGAGCTAGTTTGGTTGATCAATGTTGACCCACTTAACGTGCTCAGAAATATTTGATTTTCATAAATGTTGGTCTTTTCTGTATATCTAATCATTCTATACAAGGAATCAAGTTCCCACCCGAAACCAGCAGCTCATTAACTATACAGTAAGTTAGAAACTGTACAAGGATGTAAAAGTTGTCCTCTACGAAAGAAGTCCGACATAAATATCCTATTTTGTAAAGAATTAAATTCTGCATCGGGTGCTATGTAACCAAGTTTTTAAAAAAAATTCATATTTCAAAAACTCAAATACGATTTTCTGAAAGTTTAAAAATCGATTTATAATGTCAAAATCAAATTTTTTTAAGGAACCAATGTTAAATTTGTAATGAGTGTGAAAAGCTATCGGAAACAATGGAACACGGCTAGGTAGTGCAGGATATAGAAATGTCACTCTATGGACTATCTCTAATAACTAATTAATCAGAGCTTAAGAAGAAACGAATAATTTGTGTGATTTTATTCAGAAAACTTGTTTTTAAAAATCATGTTCAGCTGTACTAATGCATGAAAGGTTTTGTTCTTTCTTTCTTGTGTTCAAATAAACTGATTATTTTAACTAAAATACATAATATTTCAATATTCTAATATCGATCTGCATTTAAAGTAACCATACTTTCTTAAAGGAATATGTTTGAAATAATAGAAGATTAAATTTAGTCGTCTAAATTGGAATATTATTATAAATAAAATGATTACAATTTTCTTTCAGGTTTCTTGCATTCTTTTTTCTAAAACCTTATTATAATATTCGATTCTTTATAAATCGTGCTATATTCGAAAGAAAATAATAGCCTACCGGTGTAAAAGAACGAGATATAGTTCTGTTCTACTTTTTCGACAGAAAAATCAATTGTAAAGTCTAAGTTTAGTGTCGATATTGGCTTACTAATTAGAGATGAGATTGATTCGATTGAAACGTTTTAAAAACTTGATCGGTTCGATTAGATTCCGAAAAAAAAAACGAATCGATCGCTGCTCTCTTACTAATGCTGAATTTTTCTGTCTATGCGAAGTTCACTACATGAAGAGAAACATCTATTCATTTTGAATAGACTATTTATTGAACTTTTTAAAAAAAATCATTCTATTTAATGATATATCAATTTTTTGTTTTGTTTAGCGTCATGAATTCGATGATTGTCGTTTTGATATACGTGTCAGTGATTCAGTCTGGTATTTACGTGCACAAAATCCTGATGATCGTGAACGATGGAGACAAGCTTTAGAAGATCATAAACAAATATGTAAAAGTGAATCTGGTTATGGAAGTGAAACAAGTTTAAGACGTCATCCAAGTCTTGGATCATTGGCATCGACAGCCAGTGCTGGTGTTGCTTCAACTGGTTCATTTAGAGTAACTATACTATCATATAAGGAACAAAAAAAAAAGATTTTAATATTTTGATTTTATAGAAAGATCGTAATCTGATAATAAAATTAAGTGAATTAGAAACATATCGTGAATTATTATCACAGCAAGTTGCAACATTACAAACCTATTTTGATGCATGTGCTAATGCTGTAACAAAAGGTTTTGAACCATATCAAAAAGAATGTTAGTCAAATCAATTCTATCATATAAGAAAAAAAATAATCTAAAAATATTTAGATGAGAATGCAAATGATTTAGATCTTGAAGAACCATTGGATAAAAATTATGCTATGCCAGCTTTACATGATGAAACAGGCAAAAATTCACCATCAAAATCAAGTTCGTTTTTATATAATATAAAAAATTTATATTTTTTAATTAATTTTTAGAAATCGATCAATTGGCACTTGTTGATCATGCAGCTATGGCTGTTGATTTTAAAGGCGAAGGTTTATACGCATATTATTTCGTTCTTTTTCTGTGTGTAAATTTATTTTTGTCATATTTTCTATATAGCTTTAACATTTAAAGCAACTACAGATGGTGTAATACATAACTTAACCTTTTGCATTGAATTAATGCAAAAACGAGAAGAGGTTTGGAGAAAAAAATATGAAAAAGTAAATAAAATTAAAATTCATATTAGATTTTAATGTTATTTTATATTAATAGGAATCCGAACGTCGAAAAAGATTTCAAGATTTATATACTAAAATAGTCAAACAAAAAATTCCTGCACTCGGTTCACCCGATGCTGAAGTAAATAGATTGCAACATGAAAGTAATGCTTTCTTTAATCATTGTTTTTTTTTTGTAATGTTAAAGGAAGGACCATACAGTACATTAAATGAAGATGAATTTTACGATGCACTTGATCAATCACTCGATCGACTCGATCGTGAAACTGACGATTTACAATTTTCAGTAAGTATTTTAGTTTCTTCTTTTGTTCATATTTATAGATATATTATTCATTCAAAAATGTATTGTCAGCGTTGCAGATAAGAATAAAATTTATAAACCTATGTGCTTTGAAATAAAAAAAACGAAAGAAAAGTACATTTTTTTACTTTTTCTTCCTTGTTTCTTTCATGAACTTACAAGATGATGAAAAAAAAGTATCGAACCTTCTTTTATTATATTTTATTCATGGTTTTCATTACCTCTTTCTTATTCTTCGATCAATATTATTACATCATCGTTAAAAATGATGATTCGTCACAGAAGCTTGCTTTCTATACATGATGGTCACATGTGCCTCCAGTACAATTGGAAGAGGAAGACATGTAAACAATATCAAAAAAAAAACACTACATGCTTTCTCTCTTCTTTTTCTCTATAAGTGTTAGCTACACTCACTATTAAATATATACACAATCTACGGCCTATAAACTTGTGTAACAACGATAAGAAAAAAAGAAACTCGTTTCAATGAAACCAATAAAAAAAACTTTTCATATCCCACCATCATATACATTTACATCCGATTGTTCAAATCCAGCTACGGTTATATCTCTAGCATCATTTGTTTCATCTTGTTCCTCCCCATTAAGTCATGTTGGAGGTTTACGACCTTCTTATCAGCAACGTAAATTTCTTTCAACATCGAGCACATCAACTTCTTCTTCTTCTTCTTCTTCTTCTTCTGCTCTTTCGATTGCTGCTATTCATATTACAGACGATGGTAATTTTGAAACACCACTGTCTACAAGCAACAGTAGTGATGATTGTTTTGAAATGAATCCATTTGAAAAGTTATCTAAAAAACAAACTTCACAGTCATTAAATAAGGTTCGACATGAATTATCTTCAAATATTTATCTTTATTAGATATACATGAACATATTCACTTAGTTGTTTTTTTTTTCATGATGTTTATTTTAGGCAAAATTATTCTCTTCTTCGTCAAAATCTTCCGTTGATCATCGATCAACAGCAAAGAAATCAAAAAGTTCTACGGTATCAGATTCGATTAAACCTACTTCTACAACAAATAGTGATGCAACAGTGGCTGTAACACTAAATAATGAAAATATACTTCCGAAAGGAAAGCATCGATTAGCTAATGATGTAAATCGAATGTTCTATTCTTTTTATTGAATGATTAATGAATATTAATATAATTTATTAGGTTGAACGTGTTGTTCAAGAACATTTGACATATGTTCGTGAAGAAATTAGTGATGGATGGGATTTAATTCATCAAGAAGGTGAAATGAAAGTCTACCGACGTGAAGTTGAAGAAAATGGAATTGTTGTTGATCCATTAAAAAGTTTTCATTCAATTAAAGTAAATTCTTTTGTTTTTTTTTTTAATTTTTATCTTTAATAAAAATTTATATTAAATTTCATTAGGGTGTTACTGGTCATGAAATTTGTCGATATTTTTGGGAATATCAATATCGTATGGAATGGGAAAGTAAGTTATATTAAAATTATTTTATACTTTTTATTTGAAAATTTTTATTTTAGCAACACTTGACTCAACAAAAATTATTGAAGTATTAGATCCAGATACAGTTATCTTTTTTCAAATGCATAAACGTGTATGGCCAGCTGCTCAACGTGATTCATGTTTTTGGTCTCATATTCGTTGTATATCAAATTCTGAAGAAGATCAACCAACATGGCTTGTTGTTAATTATACTACTTCACATCCTCTTGCACCTGTAAGTAGAATAATTTATTCTTTTCTTAGTTAAATTTGTTTATAAATAGATAAAACCACCTCAAGTTCGTCTTGTTGCAAATGTTGCTCTGATATGTGAAACAATTATTAATGAACCACCATTAAATCCGAATGATATTAAACGAGAAAATATTGAATGTAAACTGACATACGTTGCTTTTGGTAAGATTAAATTCTTTTTTTTTTTTCTTTCTCAAACTGATGATACGATCGAGAGATTAGATTCATTTTAAATTTAATATCTTTCATTTCTCATAAGGATTCAATATAAAAAAAAAAAAAGAATGTTTCTGATGATTTTTCTCTTGATGACTTACTAGCAAGCTGAAAAAAAAGCTTAATAGTATCCTTAATGTTTCAATAATAAATATGTATAACTGAATATCTATCAGGATGGAATGTATATATTTTTAACTCAATAAAATCTAGGGTTTCATAACTTGAAGCATTAAGAAAGTATTTGAGTTATGCAAACTTAATAGATATGATGTATAAAATGACGAATCTTTCGTAAAAATATCTACATTAGCCTTCAATCTGGTATTTTTGGATGATATATATCACTCTGATGCTATTATCAGAAAGGTGTTAACCCCTATGATTATAATGATGAAGAATATGTATCAGACAAAATTAAACAGAGGTTAAAAAAGATTTCAAAATTAAAAAAAGATCAGAATAAAGAATTGACTAATTCTTTCAGAAGAGTATTTTTATATCGATATTTGTTTGTCTTCAAATTTAACATGGTTCATATATAATATATAAAGAATGAATTTATTGCTGTTAAGTTTTATTCAGTCATTTTCCAATCCAAGAAACAAAGAACTGTCAGTTTATATATTTCCTGTAGAAGAATAATAACTATCTTCTTTCAAGATTTAATCCTCGAAAAAAACTTAAATAACACTTCACTTGTTTATAAAAATACATACGAATATAATTGTCCGATGTCGAGGTAGAAGAAGTCATTGATGCAATATTACAAAATGAATAAGTAAAGATGCATACTCTTTCTAGTAAAAAAAAAATATGTGTCATATTTTTGTAATGAAAACGAAAATTAGAATTTATTTTGAAATCAAAGAAAATTATTTTATCGTTTTGTCTTTTGTGAACAATAAATTTTTTTATAGTATGTAAACAAAAACAAATTTTAATGCAGAACCTAAGATCTCTATGTTTTTGAAGTTTAACTTTTTTCATTGATTAATATTTTATCTATGGTGAACACTTGAAGATTAATACTCTCTCAATGATTAACTGCATTCGTTAAAACTTCAAATAGCCGTGCAAAAGTTTAATCTAAATAAAATACTATCAGTGATTTCAATTGAACGTATAAAAGATTCAAACAACACATAATATAAATGCTATATGAAGCTATAAAAGGATAATATTTGTTTTTTTGTTCTAGTCAATCCTGGCGGATGGGTACCTAGCGCAGCATTGAGAAGGTAAATTTTAATTAAATTTCTCTCTTGATAATATCTGAACATTATTTTCTTTTAATTTAGTGTGGCTAAACGTGAATATCCTCGCTTTCTGAAACGTTTCACAAGTTATGTTATCGAGCAAACGCGTGACAAGCCTATTCAATTTTGATTTAATTCCATTGGTTTTTTCTTTTTTGACGGATTTTTTATTTTTATCATCTTTCTCTCTTGATCTGAATTGTGTTTTTTTTTGAAATAATTGCCACTCTATATTTCTTTGCATATCAATATTTGTTTTCTGTATTCTGTTATTGATGTCGTTATTTCCTTTGCTGATTTTTGACATCATTTACTTTCCTTCTCACACACCATGTGATGATGTGCACATTTTCTTTTTTTGTAAGAAATACTCAAACTATTTTGAAAGATCTATAAAAAGAGAAAGAATGTAACAGAGAGAAGACATGTAAGAAAGAAAGAATGGCTCTTTATCAATGACAAATGCTAGCATTGTGTTATCGTTTGGAGCAAGAGCTTTTTTTTTCTCTCTTTATATTGACTATTTAAAAGAATATATACATGTATTTAGAATGATAAAGAATGCGTCATCTTCGACGCCTATGCGACCGACTACTCATATTCAAAAAGATTCATATATGTTTTCTGAAGAAGTACTAAAATCACCATCGAATCATATTTCTATGGATGTATCGAATATTGTTACACCACAACAACCTAAAAGTACACAACAACAACAACAAAATGAAAAACATACTAAAAAATGGTCTATTGATGATTTTAATATTGGTCGACGATTGGGAGAAGGTTCTTATTCAACTGTAATTCTTGTTGAAGAAAAGAAAACAGGCTTTCTTTGTGCTCTCAAAGTAATTAAGGTATGTATTTACATATATATATATGCATTCAAAATTATTAAATTTGTTTCAAATAGAATAAAAATCTTAAAATATCAGTTTTTTTTAGAAATCAATCATTCGACAATATCAACAAGAACATCAATTAATACGTGAACTTGAAATTCATATGCGTCTATTTCATAAACATATATTACGAATGTATGATTTTTTCTATGATTCAAGTCGTATATATGTTATACTTGAATATGCAGCTAATGATACATTAGCTTCATATTTAAAACGTCATCAACGTTTAGATAATACACGAACAGCAACATTTATATATCAAATAGCTGATGCACTGAATTATTGTCATCATTTAAAAATAATGCATCGTGATTTAAAACCAGAAAATATACTCTTAGGACAATTTCATGAAATAAAATTAGCAGATTTTGGTCTTGCACTTCATTGTCCAAGTTCAAGAAGAACACAATATATTGGTACAATGGACTATATGGCACCTGAAGTTATTGAAAATGAAGATGTAAATATTGATGATTTATCATGTTCATCTGTTGATTCAACAACCACCAAATCACCTATGCCATATGAAGAATCAGCTGATTTATGGAGTTTAGGTATAATAACATATGAATTACTTGTTGGTACAACACCTTTTTATGATCCAGATTTAATTGTGACAAAAAAACGTATTTTGTCATGTGATTATGTTTTACCCGATTATATACATACTGATGCCGGCCATTTTATTAATCATTTACTTAAATATGATCGACAACAACGTTTAACAATACCAAATGTCTTTGAACATAGTTTCATTCGAACATTTGCACAAATTAATTTTCTTAATGAAACTCTTCACCATTTTGCTTCAATGCATCATTCCCCAAACAATACGTAATAATTATGAAATGAATTGTATTATATCAGATTTCTTATTTTTTTTCTTTTCGAAGAATGTTATATGTATACATAGATAAATAAATGAGCGAATTGTAA